ATCAAAAATTTTCGTAATTTGAAGCAAGGATCGTAATTTTTCTTTTTGAATGCTTAAGTATTCCAATATGCTACCAAGTAAACATGGAACAATTTCAAAATAATGCTTAATGACAAAGTTGAAATTCGATCTTCAACTGTTAATATCTTTTCTTCTTCTTCTTTCTAAAAAAATTATCAATAATTTTCTCGTGCTCCTCAAGGGAGCCTCTATCACCCCTTAAAAGGAATGACGCCAATTTTGAATCACCCTGTAGAGTATAAATAATATCGAGTAAACTGAAATTAGGAAAAATCTGATAATTGTACAGTGTAGCAAAGCCATTGTGGGCACGCAGGCAAAATATTGTCAAGATGGCTGGACTTTTGGCGATATGGGAAGTAGCTATCAACTTGCTTATTTAAAACGGAACATCCTGTACCTTATTATAAGCTAAAATCCTACTCAAAGTCCTAAATATATTGTAGGTATTATTTCCTTTACTTGAGTATAATCGTCTTTAAAATACTTCAGATTCTATGTAACATGAATGACATTACCCTATAAGGATGTAGATATTTGCTATTTAATTTTCGTTTGATTTCTTGCGGAAAGACTTGCTTTTCTAGAATTTTGAGAACATTTTGATAACTAATAATACAAGATGTTAAAAGAATAAGTTTCATAAAAAATAGTTTCAAATTTAAAAAAATAAGTTTGTGTCAAGTTGTCTGTTCCAAAAATGTTTAGTTTTTCAAATGTTTGCTATTTAATGTTTTCGTATGGGGATTTTGTTGCTGAATTTAAATGCAGCCACTCCTAGTTAGCCATGGCGAAAGTGACCATGTTGAAAGCAGTCAAACAAAAAGGCTTCAAGAATTTATGTCTCACTTACCACCTGAAAACCATTAATAACCATTCTAGACATTTTCAACAATTTATTTAACAGCACGCGGATGATGGCTTCTGGTTTTGTCGATATCGACTATTAAATGTGTCACGTTCTCCATAAAATATGAACGAGTTTAAATAATATCTAGTCGTTTGTATAATTTAAGCGTCCCAGAATAATTATTAGTGATTTCCTGTGAATGGCTGGATTTAAAAGTGGCAGCGTAATCGCCATACGAACAAATTTAATGGGCAGTATTTCGAGAACTAAACACTTTTCTAATAAACAACCCTAACAAACTTATCCTTATTTTAATGCTTAATAAAATAAAATAATCCAATTGGATTTTTTTATGTCAAGAGGATTATTGCCGGTTGTTTTAATTTAATTTTAAAACACCTTGCGTTATTAATTGTCAAAATGTTATGTTATTTTTTTTCAAATGGAATTCAATTCAAATTAAATAAGAAATACTTCGCAATAGGAAAAAAGAATAACTATTTTAATTATTTTTTTATTTAAAATATTTCATAAACCGATAGACTTAAGTAGGTAGGTACTTAATTATACATAAAATATATTTTGAATAGGATTCCAGAATCTAATAATAAGCAGGGACTTCCATTGAAAATACTTACCTAAGCAAGTTGATACAGTGCTATCTGGATAATTCGGAGCATTAGTCCCGGATTCTCCGATGATCTGGAGAAGCATGCCATCTTGTGTGTGTTTAAAAGTGTGTGGCGAAAAATTATCCCTCGATCAACGTAGACAAGATAAAAGATATAGATCTCTCACCTAACTAAATATACAATGCAGATTAATGTGGCTTCTATTGGAAAATATTGCCCAAAAAAACCTGGTTGGTAGCAAAGAAAGTGTTATATTCTTAGCATTTTGTTACGCTGATGTTTCACAAAAATTAAAACTGCTAGTTATAGCAAAAGGAAAAAATCCAGACTCGTTTTAAAATGTGAAATAAAATTGTTAAAAATTATTTTAAAACGACTTGCTGAATGCAAATCTTCTGTTAATGTTAATCTTAATTCTGATCTCAAGTTTGGATTTTAAATTGCTTAATCTTGAAAACTGCATACTTGATAATTAGATTATACATTGACAAATTGGCGTCATTCTTCTTAAGGTAATACTAGGACTTACTTAGATAAACCCAAAAATTGCTATTAAACAATTTACAGTTTCTTTCTCGAAGACATTTACAACTTTTTTGGTGATACTCTAAATCGGTCAGATTAAATAATACACACACGGAGCTATTAATGTGTAAAAGTAAATTGATTTTAATTTACTGGATGGTGAATCTGAGTCGCACTCCATATCAAATAAAAAGTATCGAAAACCTATATAGACGTAGAACAGTCACTAGATTCAAATTTTAATACTGAAACTGGAGAAGTTTGTTGTAAAGTGACTGTAAAATTGTATGTAAAGTACCGTGAAAAATGATAGAACTACAACTCATGTAGTGATTATAAGTTTGCTTGCATCTTGCATTGGAACAGATATTTATATAACATTATTTTGGAACCTTAAATTTAACTAATTGGAACTTTTAAATTAAAGTAAATTTCGGATAACAGAAGAGTTTTCAACTGACGAAAGCAACGATTTATGATACTTTACTATAGCAACAGACGTTTGTTGTGCGAATCAAGAACATTGTTAAATAAGTAATCCAATAAGGATTATGTTTCAATTTCAAGCTAATACACAAAATGAATCGTAGCGCAAATGTTTTTATTACATTTTTGCAATGATAATATAAATCGTATGATGCTATGGAAAKAGTTATGTGGTGACTGTAGCGGCTAAGAGGTTCCTAAAATAAATTTGATTTTTGCGTAAAAAATGTCCTCGTTTGGCATATAAAATATCAAATATAAATAATATTAAATCATAATATGGTTTTTAAAGATATTGATAACCACTCAAATGCTTGTATTTGGAGCCCAGGAATTTATTTTGCTTTCTATTTGCTCTCAATCTAACTGCTCATTAGTCAAAGTAACATGGTTGATTATAAAAGCACAGAGCGGCTCTTAAATCATTCGCGAACATCTCAAAATTACCTTTACAATATTTTCGCCAGTAAGCATCTGAGCAATCAAGAGGAATAAATAATCAATAGACCAATATATATTGAAAAATTTAAGAATATAATTATAAAGTAAAATTAAGTGAATTATTAGGAGAATTTCAAGCCCTATTTATCTACTCACGAAATTAATGGTCAGCCATTTGTATATTTAATTTCACATTCTGTTAGGTTTTTGTGACACCCAAATAATTTATTTAAAGAAATAAACGACTTTTGCAAATCGGAATTACAATTGGTTTTTGATGGAAACTTATACTACTTCTTACTTAGATCTTTTTCTTAATATCTCCGAAAGAAACGTCTTACCTAAGTTATTGTTGCAATTATAAAGCGAACTAAATCTACTTCTATCGATGGCTAGACACTACAACATCGGTTCTTTAAAAACCATTTTAATATTACTTAACCACAGTTAAATGTTAATTAACCGAAACTAATAATGTATATAATGCCAAAAGGAAAATGTTTGCCTAACGAGTGCCGTAAGTCTTAATACACCAAAACCACGCAAACATGGCTGCGTACTTTATACTTTGATTCTTGAATAAGGACTAATTAAAAAATATTGAACGAGTAACGCGGTTCATTGTAAGTTTCGGTTGGTTCGGTCAGGATTTTCAAATATCGTGGGCAAAATATTTTGAAACGCCTTCTTTTTTATCCCTGAATGAAAAGTTAAACCTCTCAGCTTCACGCATTAATTTGTCTGATTTTTGTAAAAATATATTAAAAGTCTTTGCCTATAAGCAGTTTGCCTTATTATTTTTTCCATAAATATTTTTCCGCAAATATTAAACTATAGCAGCGTAATACGGAATATTGTTGATCCTAAATAAGCCTAAGGTTATGTTGTGTTTAAGTCGATTATAACTAATTTTCTGGTTAATGTTTTGTTCTCAGATTGGTTTCAAATGTGATATTGTTTAATATTTATTAAATGAGTAATTGGTAGGTACCTACCAGATGTTAAACAAAACCATTATGAAAGAAAAAAATTCACGGAAAATGAGGAATGAATAAGGAAGAGAGAGACGAACTTTAGACCTCTCACTCAATAATTCGCTCTTTTTTATAAAGAATTTGTCAAATTTAAAAGTATGTATGTAGTAGGTACGTTATGCCTGATCTCGTAATATTCTAGTTCTTATCTGTGAGCGTGTTGACCATAGAAGTCTTATCTTAACCA